TAGTGTATGTGCCCTCAACAGCACACCTGTACTTTGATTAATACCTAGTAGTGCAATTCAGGGTGTGTGGGTAGTTCTATTACTTTTAATTTTGGGACCCCATCCTGTTTTTCCAGAGGGTTGCACCAGTTTGTATTCCACCAGCAGTAAAAGAGATCCTTCCAGCCATCCTCGCCAATGTCTGTTGTTGCCTCGAATTGTTACTGTTGAATATTCTGACAGGTGTGAGGGATATCTCATTGTGGTTTTGGCTTGTATTTCCTGATGATGAGTGATGTTGGTGAATATGTGTTATTGGCCATCTGAGGTTCCTTTGGAGAAGTATGTCTTACTTAAGGTTCTTTTGCCCATTTCTTCACTGGATTATTTGTTTTTTGGATGTTGAGTTTGATAAGTTCTTTTTATGGATCCTGATATTAAACCTTATCTATAAGATATCTTCTCCCATTCTTGTCTCTTGCCTTTTAGTTTTGTTGATTAGTTTCTCTTCACTGTGCAGAAGCTTTTATTTCTTGATGAGGTCCCAACAGTTCATTTTGCTTTTGTTTCTTTGCCTCTGAGACATGTTGAGTAAAAGTTTGCTGCGTAAGCCAAGGTCATGAGGTTTTACCTGCTTTCTCCTCTGAGGATTTTGATGGCCTGTCTGATCGTTTGGGTCTTTCATCCATTTTGAGTTTTGTGTATGGTGTACAGTGGTCTAGGTTCATTTTCTGCATGTCCTGTTTTCCAGCCCCACTTGCTGGAAGAGACTGTCTTTATTCCACTGGATATTCTTTCCTGCTTTGTCAAAGATTAGTTGGCAACATGTTTGTGGGTCCATTGGGTTTTCATTCGTTCCATTGATCTTGAGTGTCTGTTTCTTTGTGCCATGGCTTTTAAATTCTTTTTTTTAACGCTTATTTATTTCGAGACAGAGAGAGACAGAGTACAGAACGGGTGAGGCCAATGAGGAGAGGAGACACAGAATCTGAAGCAGGCTCCAGGCTCTGGAGCCATCAGCATGTATTCCCGACGCTGGGCCTCTAACTCACTGGACCGTGAGATCATGACCTGAGCCTAAGTCAGCTTAATCCCACTGAGCCACCCAGGCTCTGTGCCATGCAGTTTTATTTTAAAATGATTTTTAAATCAAAAGAATAGTATTTATGAAAGGAATGACAATGCAAATTCAAATTCCACTGTCCATAAACAAAAGTTTTTTTCTGGAGCACAAAGCTGCTTTTTTCCATTTCTAGATATTGTCTATGGTTACTTGCACCTAACAGCTGCAGAGGCTTAGCCAAGCCCCAAAGCCTAAACCATCCAGCCTTTGTGTGAAACCTTGTCCATCCTGAGTCACACCCGCTCTTACCTCAGTCCTCCAGCTTGAAACTGCTCTGCCTTCTTCCCCTACCTGAGGTTTTTCCCTCCGGCCAGGCTTTTTAACGATCCTGTTCTTTATATTCCTCTGTATTCTCAGCTTCTTTTTTTCCAAGACCTTTTCTTCCCAAATATGCTCAGGACTCAAGTTCTTACTTTTTAAAATTGGCTTGCATGAAGTCGCTGAGCTGCCTGACTTCAGCCAGGTCATGGTTCGTGAGTTCTGGCGCCCCTCAGCCAGGCTCTGGCTGATGGTTTTGAGTGGTTTCAGAGCCTGGAGTTTGCTTCATTCTCAGTCTTCCTTCTCTCTGCCCCTCCCATGCTCTGCCCTCTGTCCCAAATAGTCAAATGCTAAAAAAAAAAAAAAAAAGAAAAAATCTTCAACTCAGAAGTCCACTCTGGCTTCTGCTGTCCATCTCTCATCTCTGCCTCCACTTCGTCTTTGGTTCATTCACCTTGGCCCAGGCTTTGGGGCCCTAGCAGTTCATTAAAACTTAGCCTTGTTATAACTAGTGATTCCTAGCTGCTGGATCTAGGAGTTTCCTCAGACCTATCTTGTTTTCTCAAGACATTTCAGGTTTTGATCATTCTTCCTTGAGATCCTTTTTCTTTTTCTTTGTTTTTTTTTTTTTTTTAATTTTAAAGGTTTATTCATTTTTGAGAGAGAGAGAGAGAGAGAGAGAGGCAAAGGGAGGGCAGAGAGGTAGAATCCTAAGCAGGCTCCAGGCTGAGCACAAGCATGAGCCCATGGGGCCTCAACTCACAAACGATGAGATGGTGACCTGGGCTGAAGTCGGATGCTTAACCAACTGAGCCACCCTGGCACCCTTCTTTTTTTTTTCTTAATTTTTCTTTTTTAATTTTTTAGAGAGAGAGAGCATGAGCAGGGCAGAGAAGCAGAGAGAGAGGGAGAGCAAGAATCTCAAGCAGGTTCCACACTCAGTGCAGAGCCCCACGCAGGGTTTGATTCCATGACCCTGTGATCATGACCTGAGCCGAACTCAAGAGTCAGACACTCAACCATCTGAGCCACCCAGACACCCCCTCGAGATCCTTTTTCTCTTACCTTCTGTGCCATCATTCTCCTTTGTGTCTTCCTGTTTCCCCAGCCCATTCCCCTACTCACCCAGCAGTAGCTTCACTTCTTTTACAAGCACCTTAAACATTGGTGACTTTCGGAGCTCTAGCCTTTGTCCTCTTACAAGAGCTACTATTGTATACTCACTCTATGCCATTCACTATATTTCAATGAATTATGCAGATTATTCCTGATCCTTACAACAATCCTAAAAAGATAGGTTTTATTTCCTCCATATTGTAAATAAGGAAAGTGAGGCTTAGTGTACTTAAGTAATTTTCTCAAGGTTACACAGTAAGTGGCAGAGCTGTGCTTGAACCTGGCCTGCTTTGGTATGCAGGTAAAGTCAGCTACATGTACCAGGGACTCCTGCCATAGGCATTCCTTTCAGTTTCCAGCCTGTATGTCTGACTGTCCACTAGACGTTTCTGCCTGGAAGTCCTGGTAGCACCTCAAAGCCAACTCATCATCTCTCCTCCATCCCCATCCAGCCCCAGGTTGGTGGTGTGCCCATCTGTTTAGTCACCCAGGCCACACTCTTGACCGAGGCTTTATCTCTCCCTAACCCCTTCTGCTCCCCAGTTGCCACTGCGGCCAGTCATTCCTCCTGCTTTAATTTCTCTGAAATTCATCTCTCACACTGTCCACTCTCACTTGCTGTTCAGGTTTTTCTCATCTCTCTCCTGGACTATTGTCCCTCTTCTCCTAGCCTCTACCCCTTCTGTTCTCTTACCCTTCCAGCCCATCCTCCACTAGGCTACCAGAAGGATCTCTCCTAAACTGCAGATCTCATTTGTTGCTCCCTTGGTTGAAACCTGTTGGTGAGTCCCCTTTGTCCTGTTCCTCTACTCCACAGTTTGACTAAGGAGGCCTCACCTTATTTTTCTAGATCTTTCTCCTTCCAGCCTCATACGTACTGCGAGTGTGTTTGTGGTTCACTGTACCAGCACTCCTATTTCCCTGCAGTTCCCAAGGTGTCACCTCTTTCTGGAATGCCCTCTTCCTGGTTTATCTGAGAAACACCTTTTCAGTGTATCCCTAAAACAAACAGGCAAATGACAAACACTTCAATTCAGAGAGAGTACCTCAGCTTCTGAGCCTTGACTGTTTACAGTCTTTCCAAGAGGGGTTAGGTTTCCCCTTTTTGTATTCCCCAGGCACCTTGGGCACGTATCTGTTGTCAGACTCAGCACAGTGTATAAACATTTGTGCACGTCTACCTCCTTAAAATCGGCACTCCTTCAAAGCAGAGATCTTTGTCTTGTTCACTTGTTTGTCTGTGGCATCTGGCTTGTTGCCTGGGACCTGGTAGTTCAGTAACTGTGGAATGAATTACTAGCATGTTGTTGGAGATGTGGACTGAGGCTTGGGAGAAGGATCGGAGTCAACGGATGAAGACGTTCATGAAAGCTGAAGAGCAGACAATGCTAGCACCCTGGTGTGTGTGGCATCAGATCATTTACAACGTATTTTCACAAACGTCTGATCTCATTTCGCTCCTCGCCAAAGCACTGTGAGACAGGCAAGGCAGGCATTAATACTCGAATTTGAGGAATGAAAAACTGAGGCTCAGAGTAACGAAATGACTTGAAAGGTCCCGAACATACGTGCCAGAAATTACTCCTCCCCCAGCCACGTCTCATGCTGCTTCCCCTGAACTGGGGCAGGTATGGGAGGGTCTGGGAGATGGGAGATAAGTGCCAGAATAAACCTATTTATCAAAGGAGTGCCCCGGAGAAGAAGATAAAGAGAGCCCCAAGGAATTGCTGTGTTGTGGAGGATAAGTCTTTAGGAGGGGAGGGCATCACTGATGAGATAGTTTTGCAAGTAAATGAAGGAAAATGGAAAAGGATGGAAGGGTTTGACCACCAGGAAGTGCAAGAGGATGTCCTGCAGTGAAACCAGCTTGCTGAGTTGCCAAGTTCTTAAAAGGAACGTGTGGGCACCGAGGGAGAGGGAGGCTCACATGTGTGCCACCCTTTCTAGAAGCTTGGTGGTTGAAAGTGAAACCGAGAGGCTGGCATTTTGAGAAATGTCATACCAGCAAATACTCCAAGAACTCCATGGTACAGTATTTTCATTTCATAGACTGGAAATCACACTGGGGAAATAATGCTGGATGACTGAGTATATCAATATTAGGATATTTCAGATTCACTTTAATGTTGGCCGGTTCCAGTCAGGGTGGGGTGCCATAGGGCAGGGTGTTTGATCAAGCCTTAAGACAGAGCCAAAGTGGTGTTTCAGTATAGGTAACTGTAACAGTAGAGGCCCACCTTTAGAGGCCAGATGTGTACTAGAGTGTGGAAACCCCCTCCTTCTATTCATTGAGAGTATTCATGTACCTACAAGTTCATCTCGTGCCCATGACTTGTTATTTGTTGTTCAGAAGTGATCTGATCAACGGGAAGATTTCCCTGCTTTGTTGTTAGAGGCCGTTTTCTGTGTTGACGGTACAAACCTCTGTGTGTCGTCCACATCTCCTGGGGAGGTAGACTCTGGGGGAGAGCAGGGCCCTGGGCAGCTCTTTCGCCCTGTTGATGAGGTGTCCTTTGTGCGCCAGGTAAAGCGGTACCAGTGCACATTCGAGGGCTGTCCCCGCACCTACAGCACAGCGGGCAACCTGCGCACCCACCAGAAGACTCACCGGGGAGAGTACACCTTTGTCTGTAATCAGGAGGGCTGTGGCAAGGCCTTCCTCACCTCCTACAGCCTCAGGATCCACGTGCGAGTGCACACGAAGGAGAAGCCATTTGAGTGCGACGTACAGGGCTGTGAGAAGGCGTTCAACACTCTGTACAGGTCAGCCTCCTCTCCACCCTTTGACCCTGACTTTGTGATGGCAGAGCCCTCTCCTTGCCCTGCACAGATATGCACTTCCAGGGCTTGAAAGAGCATGCCTGGGCTCACCTGTCTAAAATTCGCTGGGGGATCTTATTACTTAAAGATCGGCATATATTGGGTTGGTGAAACAGGATAGTACATTTGTGTTTAGATTTGTATTTCCTGGAGTGGCATAGTAGCATGGGGATTTTAATACTTGGCCTAATATGTCCCCTTGGCTCAGGATCTTGGTACTAAGGCTTCTGTCACCTTCTTTCCTTCCTCACCTTGAAGCTAACTTTTTTCTACCACTCATTGGCCAGTTCTCTTTCACACTGTTTGTGTCAGGAGACTTGTATTAGTCTTCAACTGTGGGTCTAAAATAACAGACGTAGCAAGAGCTAACACTTGTGAAGCATTCGTTGTGCTCAGCACTGTTCTGTGTGCTAATCCTCACAGCAGTTATAAGTAAGTAGAAACATAGAGAGGTTTTAGAACTGGTTCAAGGCCCCCATCTAGTAGGAAGTAGGACCAGAATTTGAGTCCCAGGCAGTCTGGTGGCAGAGGCACACTCCTACCACTCTGCTGTGGACTTCTCTGAATTTCTCTCTGAGCAAAAAATTTTGGATCCCGAATTCTTCTGCACTGGATCCAGAAACACATTGAGCTGACATGGGTCAGAGGCTCTGTAGCGTATGATGCCAATGACAACGGGAAGTGTTCTCCGGCATATCTTGCAGGCTGAAAGCACATCAGCGGCTTCACACAGGGAAAACGTTTAACTGTGAATCTGAAGGCTGCAGCAAGTACTTCACCACACTCAGCGATCTGAGGAAGCACATTCGAACCCATACAGGAGAAAAGCCATTTCGGTAAGTCTTACTGTTTTCTGTTTGTCACTGACCGTGTTTCAGCTGGGTGTCTCGATGTCCCCTCACGTTTTTCAAAGCAGAAGGAAAACTCCCCACGCTAGTTCTTTGGGGGTGTTGGCTCTCCCCGGCATGGCTACGACCAGCTGCGTGCCGGAGGGGGAGCAGTGGCTTCTAAGAGCATCCTTACTCCAGACTCGGACAATGGCCTTTCTGCCTCCTGCTTTTCCTTTGTTTTCAAGAAGCATTTGTTGAAACTCGCTTACGTGGGCGGCACTTTTATCAGTGCTAGAGAAATACTGCGATCCACTCTCTTCTCTTGAGAACTTAGTCTGTTGGGAAGGAACCACAGGTAACTGGAAAGCTTACAAGACTGAGGTGCTCAGAGGACTTTGAGCACAGGGGAAGGGATAGCTACCTAAAAATTGAGGTGGGGAGAGGAGGAGGAGATGAGGGGTAAGAGTGCTTAGGCTAGCGGTGCAGGTATTTTATTCTGTTACCTTAGTTGTTTTGTAATATGTGTGTGTATACACAAACATATAGGAGCATCCGTTTTTGTCTGTATATTTCTATCTCTATATATTTGTGCACATATGTGTATTTAATACATCCACGTGTAAATGTATAAGCTTGAAGGAAGGACTTGTATCATCTACTTTCTTCTCTGCTCATAGCACATAGCATGGTTCTACAAATAAATAAAAAGCTAGAGTATTTCTTTTAAAGATCATTTATTTATTTTGAGAGAAAGCATGCGTGTAAACAGGGGAGGGGTAGAGAGAGAGAGAATCCCAGGCAGGCTCTGTGTTCAGAGCAGAGCCTGATGCGGGGCTTGATCTCATGACCGAGAGATCACCACCTGAGCGGATGTCAGGAGTCAGATGCTTAATTGACTGAGCCACCCAGGTGCCCCAAAGCAAGAGAATTTTTTTTTTTTTAATTTTTTTTTTCAACGTTTTTATTTTTGGGACAGAGAGAGACAGAGCATGAACGGGGGAGGGGCAGAGAGAGAGGGAGACACAGAATCGGAAACAGGCTCCAGGCTCTGAGCCATCAGCCCAGAGCCCGACGCGGGGCTCGAACTCACGGACCGCGAGATCATGACCTGGCTGAAGTCGGACGCTTAACCGACTGCGCCACCCAGGCGCCCCGAGAATTTTTTATTTAGGTGGTAGGTAAGCTGTATACCCAATGTGGAGCTTGAGCTCATAACTCCAAGGTCAAGAGTTGCATGCTCTACCTACTAGGCGCCTGTAAAAGCAGAAGTATTTAGATTCTAGTTGGTTACTCACCAGGTTCTGTGAAGCTTGGGTTACTTCTTTCCCCCATAGTGGGGGACTCTGATTTCTATTCAATCACATGTATTTTTGTGATGATTAAAACTGTTAATTTTTCTTGAATATTAGATGGGACTTTAGGCACAATGATTATATATAATTAAAAAGTAAAATGCTCCAGAGAAACTTTCTTTTTAAGGAAATTAAATACTTTGGCTTACAAGAAAATGCATTCATTTATTCATATAAATAGTTATTGGGGTGCCTGGGTGGCTCAGTTGGTTAAGCATTTGACTCTTAGTTTCGGCTCAGGTCATGGTCTCACAGTTCGTGAGATAGAGCCCTGCATGGGATTCCACTCTGATGGCGCGGAGCCTGCTTGGGATTCTCTCTCTGTCCCTCTCTCTCTCTGCTCTTCCCTGCTTGTGCACGCTCTCTCTCTCAAAATAAATAAAGTTAAAAAAAAAAGTTACTGAGGCACCTGGGTGGCTCAGTTGGTTGAGTGTCTGACTTCAGCTCAGGTCACGATCTCACGGTCGGTGGGTTCAAGTCCTGCTTCGGGCTCTGTGCTGACAGTTCCGAGCCTGGAGCCTGCTTCGGATTCTGTGTCTCCCTCTCTCTCTGCTCCTCTCCCACTCACTCTCTGTCTCTCTCTCCTTCAAAAATAAACAAAGATTTAAAAATTTTTGTTTAAAGTTATTATTGAATGCCTGCTGTGTGCAAGAACTATGGCAGATGTAAAGAACTACGTGGACCCCACCCTCAAAGAGTGTATAATCTAAGAGAACCGATAACAAATGGATACACATAGAGATAAAATAAGAATGGAAACAACAGATGCCATAAAAGAAGCACATAGATAAATGCCTCAGAAGTTCTCAGGAGGGGAAGATTACTTCTGGCTTTGGTTATCAAGAAAGTAGAAGAGAAAGAAGTGGATCTTGACACTGAAGATTATAAATTAGTCATTACGGCCACTACACCTTATATTATACAGTCAATGTAGTCGGGACTGATCTTGTCTTAGTGCTATATTGTAGGCTTCATGCCTGTATGAGAGCCTCTGTACATGCTATCGATATTCCTGGTATTCCACTGGCAATAGATTTTTCGTATCGGCTCTGATCGTCAATAGAATTCTGTTCAGTAAGTCATCAAAAGGCTTTTAGTTTCAGAGCTCTCAACATGTGACTTGTAGGACAGGAAATGTTTATCCTGGGCCGTCAGTCCCCTCTGTTCCCAGATTTGTCACCTCTTCCAGTGATTTGTCTTCATTCCCATCTCAGAAACCAATTTCCTGTATCGGATCGCAGTGTTCTGAATGTTTGTTTTAGGTTGAGCTTGTATTTATAAGAGATGTTGAAGATAGAGATCTGTTTACCCAATGACTGCTGTTTCTCTTTGCTTAAACAACGTACTTAGGTGTGATCATGATGGCTGTGGGAAAGCATTTGCAGCAAGCCACCACCTTAAAACCCACGTCCGCACACATACTGGTGAGTGTAGACGAATTTTTACTTTTTATTTGAATCTTCATCAGACCAGTAAATATCTGCGTTTCTGTCGAGACCTGTAGAGCTTTGTAGAAGAAGCAAGCCTAATCAGCGTAGCCTTTGCCTATAATGTTTGAGTTTCTTTCAGAGGTAAAGGACCTAAGATTGGACTCCAAAATCCAGCCTTAAGAAATGAAACCAGTACAGAGATTCTCAAAAAAAGAACCTTGGCGGGGGGGGGGGGGGGGGGGGGGCGGGGGGTGGGTACTAATCTTCTCTTTAAGGTTGCCAGGAGAAGGCCATTTTTGCTCTACATTAAGTTTTAGGGCTGAGATGGTCAACATGTATTCTGTCCAACTCGTGGCGACTATGACCTGAACCCTCATGAGAATATTTACTTCCCTCTATTAGGGAAAAGTAGATGTCTCAAACCAGTGCAATGACTTTATGGTAATATTAACACTACTTGTCATTCTTGCAGGTGAAAGACCCTTTTTCTGCCCCAGTAATGGCTGTGAGAAAACATTCAGCACTCAATACAGTCTCAAAAGTCACATGAAAGGTCACGATAACAAAGGACACTCATACAATGCACTTCCAAATCACAATGGATCAGAGGTGCGCAGTGTTTTGTCTCTTGTTTCCATCTAGGCAACACGGAACAGCAGTGATTGTGTATCAAAATAAAAGGTCAAAATGTCTTCTTATGTATCTGTCAGTGAGAGGGAAGAAATCAGGGTCAAGATCTGTGTCTTGTGTTGGGATGGTGTCAGCCAGAGATTTCCCCAGGGTGCCCTGTGCCTCAGCTTTTGATTCAGCTCTGCCTCCTTCCCATCAGGTTTGGTCCAAGAGGTGTCTTAAAACCAGAGGTCTCAGAATGGCTTCCAGAGGGTCAGCCGGATGCTCTAAAAGGGTGTTATTTTCTCATTCATGTCTGTGAAATGGCACGTCTCTACTTAAGTTGGAGACACAGTTATGCTTTTGCTTCACACACCTATTTAATCTGTCATTGGAGAACCAGGCAGAGTCTGGATGGTTTTTTGCCCCTTTATATCGTCCATGGGCCAGAAGGTTTGAAAGCCACTGACGGTGGGTGCTGAGCCACAGAACATGCCTCTGCAGAGTTTTAGACAGTCTGTCCATTCTTTGCCAGGCCTCCACCATATTTCCCTCTCCTCTGTAGCTCCATTGCAGAGAGGTGCCGGGAGAAATTTATCGTTCTTACTTCTAATGTGCTATTGGGCACTTACGATGTCTTTTAAACCTAAGAAGTGAGCGTTATTATTATCTTACTATTTCGTAGATAAAGAAACTGAAGCACACTGACCCCTTTTGAATAATGAGATTTTTTACTTAAAGTAGGTAATACCATTTTGATTTGGGGGGGAGACAGCATACTTTAATTCTGTGGTTTTCAATTTTTAAACAGCAAAGGATCCCTTCACATGGACTCTGCTCCTTTATTTTATTAGTAATAGTAACTAACATTTATTGAGTGTTTACCATGTGCCAAATACTGTGCCAAGTGTTTTTATATGTTTTTATATTATCTCACAAGAGCTCTGTGAGGTCAATACTGTTACTATCCCTACATTACTGATAAAGAAACTTGAGGCAAGGAGAAATGAAATAATGAAATGGTAATTATAGGTTTATAATTATAGTCTGATTCCAGAGCCTGGTTCTTGACCCCTCTCTTGTAAGAGGCAAAATGACTTTATTGTGAGGGCTGCAGCCGCTGGAGCTCAGCTGCCTGAATTCAGATCCAAGCTCCACTGCTGATCCATTAGGCAAATGACATCTTTGTGCCTCAGTTTCTTCATCTGTGAAACCAGATAAAAATATTGAGATCTGAGAGTCTTTGTCTACTAAGCTGCATGCATTAAGTTGCGATCAGCATTTGTGTGATAATCCAGGGACGCTTTAATTGGTGACAGCCCCTAAGCACTGAGGCATCCCAGTGGACGATGCTCAGGTCTCATCTTCTCTGGATCACAGCTCACTCCCCAGTGAAGGGAAACGCCTCTCGTCTCAGGCTCTCAATGCCATCTAGATTGCCTTTGAGTCCTAAATATAGATCTCCAGCCTGGATCTCTTCCTCAACTCTAGACTTGTACAGACAATTCTCACTTAGGATGGTTTGACTTTACATGTACAAAAAGCAATATGCATTCAGTAGAAACCATACTTTGAATTTTGATTTGGATCTTTTCCTGGTCTTATTGTGGGCCATATCATCCTCTCTTGTCATGCTGGGCAGTGGAACCAAGCCACACCCCCCACACCCCCATCAGCCCCGTGATCACAAAGGTAAATAACTGATAACACTTACAACTATTCCAGACCCATACAACCGGTCTGTGTTTTTCCCTGTCACTACAGTATTCAATCAATTACATGAGCTACTCAGCACTTTATTACGAAATCAGCTTTGTGGTAGATCATTTTGCCCACTATAGGCTAATGTCAGCGTTCTGAGTGCATTTCAGGTAGGCTCGGCTAAGCTGTGATGTTTGCAAGTTTAGGTGTTCAATGCATTTTCGACTATCAGGACATAGCTGCACCGTTAGTTGAGGGAGATCTATCTGTTCAGCCTCCCTCTTCAACCCAGATCTCCTCTGTCTTCTCAAATCTGGTATGTCCAAACCTGCTCCTCTTGCGGTTTTCCCCACCTTGGTAAATGGCACCTCTGGTTTTTTTAGTGGCAAGGGCAAAAATCTTGGAGTCGTTCTTGATACCTCTCCCCCCGCCCCCCACCATACCCCACCTCTACCAGCAGAGTCTGTCAAGTCTACCATGAGAATATATGTAGAATCTGATCATTTCTGATGACTGCATTCAGGCCACTGTCATCTTTTGTCTGGATCACTGCAGTAACCGCTAAGCGGACTTCCTCACACATTTCCTCCTCTCCCAACTCCCACTCTGCCCTGCCACAGACTCGTCTACATATTTCACCCAGAGCAATCTTTCTAAACCATAAGGCAAATAATGTCTGTCCTCTGCTCATGAGCCTCCAGTAGCTTCTTGTATCACTTACAGCAAAAGTCAAAATCTTTACAGTGGCCCACAGGGCCTTATACACTCCAGTCTGGTCCCTTCTCTGGCCTGATGTACTTCTCTTCCTCTCTCTGTAGCCTTACTGTCCTCCTCGTGGTGTTTGAACAAGGGAAACCCATTCCTGCCTCTGGGCCTTTGTACTTGGTATATGCTCTGTTTGGAACTCCACGGATATGTGCATGGCCCACACACTCTTTCCTTCTCAAATGCCAGGATCCCCTCATGCCAGTTTATCTGAGAGGCCTCCCCTGATCTAATAAAACAGCACCTCCTACCCCAGCATTCTCTATTCCCTTTACCCTCCACAGCACTCAGCAGCATCTTCTATTCTATACATTTCTTTGCATTTTTTGTCACTCTCCATCCCCCTGCCCTAACTAGACTATAAGCTGTATGGTGACAGGTATCTTGTTTTGTTCATTATTGTATCCCTGGGCCTGGGACAGTGCCTAATGCATAATAGGTGCTCAGTGAATATTTGTCAAATGCTTGCATGAATGGGAACATCTGATCCATGAGGTAAGCAGGGTTACTGCCTAAGGTGTGTGAGTTGCAGCTGGCGTTCTAGGAATCCAGGGTTGAGAGTTAGCCTAGGCTGTCGTATTTGAAAAGTAAATCCTCAGTACGTACTGCCCTGAGTAAGGATCCCTGAGATACTGGGGATGCAGTGGTACAGTGGAAGCTGGACTTCCCATCAGAAGAACTGAGTTTGTGTTCTTCTAATTAGCTGTGTGATTTTGGACTGTTCACTGCCAGACTTAGCATTAATTTTCTCACATTTAAAACGGGAATATAAAATCAGACTTCACGAGTGTATATGAATAGCAGATGAGGTCATGTGAAATTGCTTTGTAAATGATAAGATCAGTTCTACAAATAACTGATTTTGTATTATCACAGCTTTTGTTAACTCTGGAGCTTGAGTCATGAGATAATTCTTAAGCTCTTTATTAGCCGTCTTTAAGAAATATAATAGGTTCTTCTAAGAATATCAGGATTTAAAAAACTGAAATAATTCACATAGCTCTTGCTTTGGATGGTTTATGCCTCTCCAGGTAACAAATCTAGACATTTGGGACCGTAGGGACATTAGAATCAAGTGTTGTATTCCATGCTATGCTACTACAAATCCTGATTTTTTTTTTTTTTGGCTTTTTACTCAATTAGAATATTTTCTCTTTCACAGGATACAAATCAGTCGCTTTGTCTGAGTGACTTGAGCCTTCTGTCCACAGATTCTGAACTTCGAGAAAATTCTACTACAGTAAGTGCACCTGTGATACGGGTGTCAGACAAATAAGTTCAAGAATTGAGCACTCCCTTTGGTGGGAACATCGAAGGAGGCCAGTCTTTGAAGTCTTCAGATGTAATTGTGTTCAATTACTGACCACTTCGGGCTCCTTTGTTTGGGGTTTTATTTCTTTTTTTTTTTTTTTTTTTTT